CAACCCACATCTGCATAACTCAAAACCATTATGCCAGTGATTCTCAAAGTATGATTCAGGGCTGTCTGCCTGAATGGGCCTGACCCCAAGAATCAGAGCCCCTGGCAGGCCAGAAGTCTGGGTTTATCCTCCCCAGTTGAGCAATAGGCTCACAGTGTGACCTGGGCCAGTTCTCCCTCTCTAGGTCTGTTCCCCCATCTGTAAAAGCAAGGGCTCTCTGGGGTGAGGAGCTGTTTATCCACATGGCCAGTCCTGCTCCAGGGGGGCTCCTGGTATCTCAAGACATGCAACCTTCAAGCCACAAAGGATCGTCACTGACATTACTACTTTTATTTTGTAAGCCTGCATGTCTCAGGGCTCATGTGTGTGTGTCTGTGCGTGTGTGCGCACAGGCACACATTCAGATCTGCAGGTGATGTGGCTTGGGGAGAGGCTGCCATAAATATTAAACTCCCAACTCCAAAGTACCCTGCAGAGATTCAGAACTGCAGGAATTCATAATATCGTTCTCTTTCAAGACTCAGTGTTCTCAGGAGTGTGGGCACCGTCATAGAAAACTATCGAAAAGGAGAGTGAAGAGTTAGAGAACTGCTGAGCTCGGAGGGAACTCAGAGCTCATTTAGTCCCTTGTTCCCAAAGCTTCAAACATGATCCGTGGTCAGCAGCATCACCCTCACCAGGGAGCTTGTTAAAATGCAGAGGCTTAGCCCCCAGAGGAACACGATGGATCAAGATTTGCATTTAAACAAGATCCCTAGGGGACTTGCCTGCACGTCTTTGTTTCTGAAAAGTTGTCCTAGTCCCCAGCCCTCATCTGCATTTGGGGGAAACGTGAGGATCAGAGAGGGGTGGAGTTTGTTCCAGGTCCCCCAGTCCATTAGCAGCAGGGCCTTGACAAAAACCTGTGCAGACTCTATTAAAGGATTCAAAGTTCTCTACAAGAGGCAGGCGTTTGCACAAAAGATGAGTAAGTGCAGAAGAAACGCACAGTGTTGTTAATTGTGTCCATCAGGGTTCAGGCAGGAAAAGAGAATCCAACTGCAATGGTTCTTGGGATTTGAATAAAGTGGCTATTTCTAGAGTTGGGGGACAAGCTTGAGGAAACCAACCAGGGACTGTTATCCCTAAGGCTCAAGCAGCAAAGAAAAGCATCTGGGTATCCCAGCCCAGGGAGATAATGGGAGCCACGGACAAGGGCTTATCAGGAAGGACACAGCCAACTGCCACACTTGTGATCAAGAGAAGACAGCAGGGAAAAGTGCCCTGACATCTGGCCTCCTGCCATGCCACCGTCTGGCTGAACCCAACTAGAGATGAGGAAACTGAGTCACAAAGTGCCCAAAGTCACCCCGTGGGGGAGTCAGGATTCAAATCCTGGCCATCTGGCCCCAGAGTCCATAAAGATAAACATTAAGGTTTGTTTATTCCTTTGGCAATTATCTACTATTTGCTGCTCAGTATTCTAGACACTACGGATTCCAAATTCTGGGTTTTTCAAAATCTTTTCAGTAACACTTTTGTAGTCAGAATGGTATCCGCGGCGAGTCCGCGGCACTGCCAGCCCTTGTCTTCTCAGAGGAAAGAATTCAATTGAGAGATGGAGGCAAGTTTTAAAGCAGAGGCAAAGGTTTGTTGAAAGAAGCAAAGTTGGGCGCAGTGGCTCAAGCCTGTAATCCCAGCACTTTGGGAGGCCGAGACGGGCGGATCACGAGGTCAGGAGATCGAGACAGTACTGGCTAACACGGTGAAACCCCGTCTCTACTAAAAAATACAAAAAAAAAAAAAAAACTAGCCGGGCGAAGTAGCGGGCGCCTGTAGTCCCAGCTACTCGGGAGGCTGAGGCAGGAGAATGGCGTGAACCCAGGAGGTGGAGCTTGCAGTGAGCCGAGATCCGGCCACTGCCTGGGCGACAGAGCGAGACTCCGTCTCAAAAAAAAAAAAAAAAAAAAGAGCAAAGTGCAATTGAGAGATCAAGTGCCCCGCTCAGCCTTTGGCTCGGGGTTTTTATACACTGGCTTGGTTCTGGGGTTCCTTCCTTGGGCGGGCTGTTACGTCACCCCTGCGTGTGCAGTGACCTGCCAACCCTTGGGAGGGGCCGCACGCGCAGTGTGTTTACTAAGGTTGTGCGCATGCTCACTTGGGGCGATTTTCCCTTACTGGTCTGTCGCACCAAGAGAAAGATCATATACAAGTCAGACTCCTCCATTTGCCCTTCTGCTCATGGTTAAGACCTTACCAGGGAATTGTGGTTTGCTGGCTCCAGATGACGTCAACTATCTGTTAGGGAACTCCTCTCCCTCTCGGCGCCATTCGTGGCCACTTATGTAAAAGGGACAGTTTTATGATTGCCTGTCCATCATTTGATGCACTGCCATTTCTGGGGACCCTCTCCTGCACAAGAACATAATAAACATCCTTGTTAAAAGAGTCCCTATTTCACTGCAATAAGACTGAGTGGTGGCCAGAGTGGTAGCAGCTGTTGCTTTTGTGGAATTGGATGGACAGCCTGGTAGGAGAAAGGCCCAGGGGTTCTGACCAGCACTGGGGTCATGCTGCTCCCTGAGGCCTCTGCTGGGTCCTGGGCCATCAGCAGGGACTTTAGCCAGGAGTGGGAACCTGCAGGGGTGGAGGCTGGGCCTGGGCCACTTGGCAGCTCTAAGGTTGCTGCTGTGGGAAATTCCCAACCCTGCAAATGACCCCCAGCCAGGGACATCCTTAAACTGCGGCCAGAGGAAGAGTGACATCTATGTCCCCATAAGATCCTTATGCTCCAGAATGTCCTCCCCCACTCTCCTCCGCTCCTGGGCAGGCTGAGGTCCAGGAAGCAAAAGCCCCTAGGCACACTGGGGATGCACCTGTGAGCCCTTCCCTGCTCCAAAGCCTCCCAAAGGCTGGCTCCTCACCCTGAGGCCTCTGCTCAGCTTGTTGCCTCCCAAGAGAAGCCTGCCCTGACCAGCGTTTTGGAATGGCATCCCGCAGACCTGGACTTAAATTCCTGCTGGGTGACTACGGCCTACATCACTTCACCCTGCTAAACCTTCTTCATCTCAAGACAAGACTAAAATATGCACCTGGGGTTGCTGATGCAGGGATGAGAGGAGACGTGCAGCTTAACCAGCACAGCACCTGCACATAGTAGGTGCTCAATAAATATCAGTTTCTTTTCAATTCCTGCCAGGTGCTGCAAGGATCTCAGGAAATGGAAGACTCAGCCCTGCCTGCAAGGAGCCACCAGACTGGTGGGGTGGGGGCTGGGGGGAGGGACAGAAGAGGACCCCAATAAACCTCAGCCCCAGTGACGGCAGCAACGCGGTACAGAGGAACAGAGAGGCCTGGACTGTGGGGTTCCCTGGGCTTAATGTGGGATGTCCTGATCTTAACCTCAGTGCCTGCCTGTGCTGTTTGTGACCTATTGGGACTCACCCTGTTAATCCCAGCACATTCGATTGGTTGAGGCCATCATGAAGACCTGCCCAATTTCAAGGGAAGGGGACAGAAACACTATCTTTTGATGTAAGGAGTATCAAATAATTCGTGGGCATATTTTTAAAGGACCACAATTGCCAAAAAGCAGAGTGGTTAATGCTGTGGTGGGGAAAGTGCGAAGGGTTCTGGGACCTCAGGGGAGACCCTTTCTAGAATCCAGAAAAGCATGGGAGTGGTCAGGGAAGGCTCCCTGGGGGTGAGGGCAGAGCAGAACTCCCAAATGTAAGCAGGGCTGGGGCAAAACTCTAAAAATTAAGCACAGTCCATACTATAAATTTTGTTTTCCAGAATGAAATTTTACTATCTTTACTTACGACAAATATATGCCAGGGACCATACCCCCAAGAAAATAAAAATTTTAGAGGCTGGGCATGGTGGCCCAAGTCTATAATCCTAGTATTTTGGAAGGCCAAGTAGGAGGCTCACTTGAGCTCAGGAGTTCGACACCAGCCTGGGCAACATAGCAAGACCTCGTCTCTACTAAAATACAAAAAATTAGCTGGACATGGTGGCTCACGCCTGTAGTGCCAGCTACTCAGGGGGCTGTGGTGGGAGGATCACTTGAGCCCAGGAAGTTGAGGTTGCAGCGAGCGATGATCGTGCCACTGCACTTCCGCCTGAGCAACAGAGTAGACTTTGTCTCAAAAAATGAAAAAAGAAAAAAATATTTACATATCAACAAGCAAAACCTTTTTTTTTTAACACTTATAATTCTACCCCCTAACCAGAGACAAGGCCTCATGACTCCTTTCTAAATATTTTCCAGATTGTTGAATATGGAAGCCTATTTTGAACCCCCCAAAATAGAATCTTACTCTATGGTGCCATTGGAAATGGATGCCTCATGAGACCGCTTTCCTTGCCAAGAAATACCTTTATTTCTGCAGCCTCACTTTAAAGTGTGTGTCATAATTCATTTAACCAATGACCTTCTGTGGGATACATGAGGTTGGGTCTCACTTCTCCTGTTTCACACAGCATAGCAATGGTATCTTAGAGCAGTGATTTACTGGCACACTGACGCAATTATGTGCTTAGGGGCAAGTCCTTGAAATTGAATTCCTGGGTCACAGGGCATGTAGCTGTTTAAATATTTGCCAATTGCCTTCCAGAAAATTTTATCACCAGCAAGGTTTGAGAGAGGCTGTTTTCCCATGGGGGAAAACATTTATTTTTTAAATAAACAGAGCTGGTATATTTAAAAAAAAAGAGAGAGAGAGAGTTTGGATGGCGCCAGACGTGGCTTCACTCTCAACCCTGCTGTCTGCTGGGTGTAAGATCTTAGGGGGACTATGTAGCTTCTTTGAGCCTCAGTTTCCTCATCTGCAAAACCAAGATTTCCTAGCCAAGCTCTTAAGAGACTGACTGAGATGAGGCAAGACGAATGGTGATGAATGTGGATCTTTCTGTGGGGAGGGTGGACAGGGATGATCATAGAAGCCAGGCTTCCTCATCCACTGATCTGGGCAGTGAAAACTGGCTTCTAAGTACGACCTTATGACTTCAGTGATGTCGCAAGCAAGTTCCAGTCCCTGTGCCTCCCCTTCCCGCTCCCAGGAGCCCACCCACCCTCAGGAACTGCCCCCAGCCATCAGACCTTGGCCACTTAAGGGACCTGGGCCCAGTCCACAGCTGGGACAGTCCCAGCCCACTGCACTGGGAATCTAGGATGGGGGCCTTGGCCGGGGCCCTGCCGTCCATACTGCTGGCGTTGCTGCTCACGTCCACCCCAGAGGCTCTGGGTGCCAACCCTGGCCTGGTCGCCAGGATCACCGACAAGGGACTGGAGTATGGTAAGAAGCCACGTCTGCTGGCTGGACTTGGCAAACCCAGGCCCCAGGCTGCTCTGCGTACAGTGGGGACAGGGAGTGGGGACACAGACCAGACTCTCTCCCTGGGGCAGTGCCACCTTCTGGGTCAGGCAGCTCTGGCTCCGATTCTGGCCTCACCGCTCACCAGCTGAGTGCCCTGAGCACGTTATTTGTGGTATTTGTCCACCACCAGCCAACAACACAGCTTTGCGTGCAAGTGGTTGATTTGGGAAATGATCCCAGGAAACACTGTAGGGAATCGGTACTAAGATGAGGAAGGGAGGGCAGCCAGGAGAGAGTGTGCGATTAAACCAGCCACCACCTCTGACGATGGGAACCACCCAGCTGGGAAAATTCTGCATAAAGTTTGGAAACACATGCCTCTGAACTAGAAGTCAGAATTGTGGTCACCTCTAGAAGCAGGCAGAGACCTTGAAGGGCATGAGGGAGGGGAGCCTGCCGGGGTACTAGAAGGTGCCATATCTTGATCCAGGTGGTGATCACAGGGCTGTATAAACATTAAAAGCCAGGCATGGTGGCTCACACCTGTAATCCCAGCACTTTGGGAGGCCGAGGCGGGCAGATCACAAGGTCAGGAGATCAAGACCATCCTGACTAATACAGTGAAACTCCATCTCTATTAAAAATAAAAATAAATTAGCCAGGCGTGGTGGCGGGCACCTGTAGTCCCAGCTACTCAAGAGGCTGAGGCAGGAGAATGGCGTGAACCCAGGAGGTGGAGCTTGCAGTGAGCTGAGATTTCGCCACTGCACTCCAGCCTGGGTGACAGAGCAAGTCTCCGTCTCAAAAAAAAAAAAATAAACAAAATAAACATTAAAAATTATTTAGCGATACCTTTAAAATTTGTGCCTGTTAGGTACTTTATGTATATTATTCCTCAGTTTTAAAGAATGGGCAGGCAGGCCAGGCGCAGTGGCTCACACCTATAATCCCAACACTTTGGGAGGCCGAGGTGGGTGAATAGCTTGAGGCCAGGAGCTCAAGGCAAGCCTGGCCAACATGGTGAAACCTCGCCTCTACTAAAAATACAAAAATTAGCCAGTCATGGTGACGGGCACCTGTAATCCCAGCTACTTGGGAGGCTGAGGCAGGAGAATCGCTTGAACCTGGGAGGCAGAGGTTGTGGTGAGCCGAGATCATGCTACTGCGTTGCAGCCTGGGCAACAGAGGGAGACCGTCTCAAAAAAATAAATAAATAAAAATAAAACAAAGAATGAGCAAAAGTAGAAATATTTCTTTTAAAATGTTGAAACAAAGCCTCCAGACTATCCAGGTGGCAAGGGAACTGGGATATTTATACACCACAGTGATTAATTGAGGGTTTCTGGGCCGGGGGTTTGTCAGCGCCCCAGCACTTCTGTTGCATGTACCTGCTTTCTGCAGTTCCAGGACAAAGAGCCTCAGGACATACAGGCTCAGGGAGGCAGACACTGGCAGCTGGGAGTCAACTGTCACTTACTGGAAAGACTCAAGGATATGGACAGGCACTGACCACCTGTCTTCTCACATTCCTAGAGCCTGAATTGCCTTACCTATTAAATGAGATAACAACATTCCCTTAAGTAGGGTTGTTGGGAGCCCAGAGTGGCTCGAGGCAGGGAGAGGGAAATCAGGGAAGGATTCCAGGATAAAGTAAAATGGAAAAGACAGTGGGAATTACCCAGGGACAAGGGGTAGTGTTCCAGGCGGAGGGACCCCAACATGGGCGTTTGCTAGAGGGAGAAAAGCAAATTGGAAAGAGGTGAAAGGGGAGGCCGCTGGTCATCTGCGTACCCATGCCTGCCTTGGGGGCAGAAACCTGGGTCCCTCAGATCTCGGAACAGTGGGACCTGGTAACTGCTACTTGCATTGAAACCATAAATCAGGAGAGTTTGTCTTTTGTTCCTTTGCACTGTGCACACACAGCATGTTTATGTAACCTGTCCTCTGAGGTTGGGCATTTTAGTCCTTTCCTTTTTTATATTTATTTATTTATTTATTTTTATTTTTATTTTTTTGAAACGGGATCTCACTCTGTCACCAGGCTGGAGTGCAATGGCACAATCTCAGCTCACCATAACCTCCAACTCCCTGGTTCAAATGATTATCTTGTCTCAGCCTCCCGAGTAGCTGGAATTACAGGCACGAGCCACCACACCCAGCAAATTTTTGTATTTTTAATAGAGACAGGGTTTCACCATGTGGGCCAGGATGGTCTCGATGATCTGCCTGCCTCAGCCTCTCAAAGTCCTGGGATTACAGGCGTGAGCCACTGCACCTGGCCCCTTTCCATATTTTTAATAATATAAACCGTTTGCTGTTCCAGGCATTTACTGAGTGCCTGCTGTATGCCAGGCACAAGTTAGGAATGCTTGTTATCCTCCCAGCCCTCTTCTTGCTTTGCAGTTTCTATGCCAACCCAATGAGGAAAGTTTTGTTTTGTTTTGTTTTGTTTTTTGTTTTGTTTGAGACGAAGTCACACTCTGTCATCCAGGCTGGAGTGCAGTGGTGCGATCTCGGCTCACTGCAATTTCTGCCTTCTGGGTTCAAGCGATTCTCCTGCCTCAGCCTCCCGAGTAGCTGGGACTACAGGCGTGTGCGACCACACCAGGCTAATTTTTGTATTTTTCAGTAGAGATGGAGTTTCACCATATCGGTCGGGCTGGTCTCGAACTCCTGACCTCAGGTGATCCCCCCACCTCAGCCTCCCAAAGTGCTGGGATTACAGGCGTGAGCCACCACGCCCAGCAAATGTATTGCTGTCATTGCTCTTTAACAGCTGAACAAAGTGAAGGTTGTTTGGGGACTTTGTCAAAGTCACCCAGCTAGAAAGATGCCCCCTTTCTCTAGCCCCCAAATCCTTCCAATTTCTTCTACAAGGCCAGATGCCATGGAGGACAAGGAGGAGGACCACCTGTCCAAGCGCACCGCACTTCTGCCCTCAGGGAGTTGTTGGCAAAGGCATTCCATTTCCTTGTCAGTAAAATGGATATGAACCTAACAATGCCACAGAAATGCAGGGACGCCTCTGAATGTCCCTCACGCTACCTGGCACGCAGAGGGGCTCATATCCTGTCAGTGTACTTAATGCTAATAACGATGTTGACCTCTCTCTTCAGGGCAGGTGGGAGCCACCGTAGGGTTTAGAGCAGGGGAGGAGGCAGGCAGATCAAGCTGACTCCCAGCTATTTCCTGTCCACAGCGGCCCAGGAGGGGCTATTGGCTCTGCAGAGTGAGCTGCTCAGGATCACGCTGCCTGACTTCACCGGGGACGTCAGGATCCCCCACGCCGGCCGTGGGAGCTATGAGTTCCGCAGGTGGGGCTCTCCCTTCTGCTGGGGCTCTGAGGTGGCTGGAGCTGGCTGTGAGGGCGAATTGGAGAGTGAGGAAGAGAGAGCCTCAGGATTGGGCTGCGGAGGGACCTCTTTGGGGCAGACAGTGGGATAGTTCCCTGAAGAGTTCAGAAGGAAATTCTGGGAAGGAATTGAGCTCCTCCACTCATTCATGCAGCAAATATTAAGGAAGACCTTAATATCTGGCTGTGTGACCTGAGCCTCGGTTTCCTTACCTGTAAAATGGGGTTTATCTGCTTCCTCCTTCAGAGTGCTAATCCAAGATCCAATCTGGCCACTGGATATAGTTTGGAAGAGAAGATAGACCTTACACTTTAAATCTAGTAGCCCAATGGTTAGAGCTGAAGTTTGTACTTGGGGGAGTCAGGGAAGACTTCCCAGAGAAGATGGCATTTGAGCCAAGACTTCAAAAGATCACTAGACTTGAGCAGTTGATACTTTAAAATGGCGTCAACTGCTTTTCGAGGGCTGGGCAGTGAAGAAAGTACAATCAGGCCCGTAGCACATTGTACCCCTCCCCGCTCACTGCTATTGAGTGTTTCCTTCATTCCTGCCTTCTTTTATTCAGTCCATCAGCAAACATCTATTGAGCACCTACTATGTGCCAGGCAAATAAAACAGAACTTGACCATTCTTTTCTCACTGTTGGCAACCTTGCTGACCCTTTTGGGTCTTCTCTTAAGGCTGCCACCATATTCCCTGAATCTGTTTCCCGCCTAGCTGGATGTATTGGGAGAGGGCAGGGTTAGCAGGAGCTGCGAACTCAAAGAGATATGTCTACGGACCTCCTGAGGATGCCACCTGGGGTCATTAGATTCATGGTTTCTGATGCTGACTGCAAAACTGCAGGTAATTGCATCCCTTCCTCGAGGTTCTGTTTCCCCTTCTGTGGAAAGGAAACAAGAACAGTCCTGACTCCCTCAGTGTGGCCCAGATGGCATGAAGAATGTAATGTGCTTAGCATGGACACATGGTCGGTGCCTGGGACACACCTGGTGCTCACCTGGAGCAGATCCTGCTGGTCTAGTCCCCACTGTGGAGAGGGGAGGCCTGCAAAGGTGGGAGCAAGGTCCCTGGTGAGGCTGGGTCCAGGCCCAGGGCTGACAACTCCTTCCGTGTCTCTCCCTTCAGCCTGAATATCCACAGCTGTGAGCTGCGTCACTCTGCACTGAGGCCTGTCCCCAGCCAGGGCCTGAGTCTCAGCATCTCCGACTCCTTCATCCGGGTCCGGGGCAGGTGGAAGGTGCGCAAGTCATTCTTGTAAGTTGGCCCTGCTCCCAGGCCCTGGAGCTCTTGGCCTTGGCCTTCGCCCCATCCTTCTTAGGTCCAAGGTGTTCCTAGCTCATCAGAAAGGCCACGTGGTGGACAGATGGAGTCCAAGCCCAGAGGTGGCCTGGGGATTGAGTCCTGGCTCTTGGATATGAGTGTCTTTCCCTCTCTGAGTCTCTACTTCCTCATCTCCCAAGGGGGACGGGCCTGCTTCCTTGATGGAGTCACGGGAGGGCTAAGTGCGATAATATCATGTCTCCTTGGTTTGCTTCCCACAGAAGCAGACCTTAGGGCAAGAATTCCAGTGCAATACTTTATCCTGGAAGTGATCTGAGGAAATCCACAGGGGAAGTGAGGAAGGGAAGGGAAGGAAGTCAACCTGGTGGGCAAGTGAAGCTCTGTCTAGCTGGGGGGCGGGGACAGCGGAGAACACGCCTCTGAGTTACTCCAGCCCCACCCTGTCACCCCTTCCTCCTGTTTGTCATTGGCCAAAGGCTGCTTCCAGGGGCTCTGGCTCTCAGGCACTTTGAACAGATCTCTGACCTCAGAGGCACTTGGATGGAAGGGTATTCGTGTGCTAGGGCTGCCATAACACACATAGACCGGGTGGCTTAAGCAGAAATGTGTTTTCTCACAGTTCTGGAGGCTGGGGGCCAAGGTCAAGGTTTTGGCAGGCCTGGTTTCTTCTGAGGCCACTCTCCTTGGCTTGCAGATGGTTGCCCTTTGGCAATTGTCCTCACGTGGTCTTCCCTTTGTGCTTAAGAAATCCCATTTCTGAGGCCATGCACATTGGCTCACCCGTGTAATCCCAGCACTTTGGAAGGCTAAGGTGGGAAGATCACTTGAGGTCAGGAGTTCGAGACCAGCCTGGCCAACATGGCGAAACTCAGTCTCTACTAAAAATAAAAAACAAATTAAAAATTTAAAAACTAGCCAGGTGTGGTGGCAGGTACCTGTAATCCCAATTCAATTACTCAGGAGGCTGAGACAGAAGAATCCTTTGAACCCTGGAGGCAGAGGTTGCAGTGAGCTGAGATCACACCACTGCACTCCAGCCTGGGGGACAGAGCTAGACTTCATCTCTTAAAAAACAAAAAAAGAAAAAAAAAGAAAAGAAACCCCATTTCTCTCTGTATGTCCTAATCTCTTTTTTTTGAGATGGAATCTCCCTCTGTCGCCCAGGCTGGAGTGTAGTGGCTGGATCTCAGCTCACTGCAAGCTCCGCCTCTCGGGTTTACGCCATTCTCCTGCCTCAGCCTTCCAAGTAGCTGGGACTACAGGTGCCCACCACCTCGCCCGGCTAGTTTTTTGTATTTTTTTTTAGTAGAGACGGGTTTTCACCGTGTTAGCCAGGATGGTCTCGATCTCCTGACCTCGTGATCCGCCCGTCTTGGCCTCCCGAAGTGCTGGGATTACAGGCTTGAGCCACCGTGCCCGGCCCTAATCTCTTTTTATAAAGACACTAGGCAGATTGGATTAGGGCCCACCTTAATGGGCTCATTTAAATGTAATCACCTCTTCAAGGGGCCTATCTGCAAATACTGTGACATTCTCAGGTACTGGGGATCAGAGCTTCAACATTTGAATTTGGGAGGCAGGTGGTGACACAGAGCAGCCCATAACAGAAGGAGCAGCCCAAATATGGGTGACATGGCCATATTCATACTTCAGATCTGCACTGCCCAAAATAGTAGTCACCTGCCATGCCTTTACTGAGTACTTGAAAAGTGCCTGGTACAGGTTGAGATCTACTCTAAGTATGCAACACTGGATTTGAAGATTTAGTATTTAAAAAAACAAAACAACAACAACAACAACAAAAACACTGGCCGAGCGTGGTGGCTCATCCCTGTAATCCCAGGACTTTGGGAGGCTGAGGCAGGTGGATCATTGGAGGTCAGGAGTTCGAGACCACACTGGTCAACATGGTGAAACCCCATCTCTACTAAAAATACAAAAATTAGCTGGACATAGCTGTGCACACCTGTAATCTCAGCTACTTGGGAGGATGAGGCAGGAGAATCGCTTTAGCCTGGGAGGCGGAGGTTGTGGTGAGCCAAGATCGCGCCACTGCACTCCAGTCTGGGCAAGAGAATGAGACCCTGTCTCAAAATAAATAAATAAATAAATAAATCTCATTAATAATGTTTATACTGATTACATGTTGAAATGATACCATGTATTACTAAAACCAATCTCAGCTCTTTCTTTTTATCTTTTTAATGTATCTTCTGGAAAATTTAAAATTACATGTGTGGCTCACATTCTATTGCTTTAGAAAGATGCCTGGTTTATATGTCACCTACACACGCACATTCTTTCTAGTTCCATGAAAGGAACCGGCCACACTCTCCTACCCTGTCTTTTGTCAGTGAAATATCTTAAATATCTCTTTATATGGGCATATGATGATCTACCTCATTTTTTTTTCACTTTTTTGAATGTGCTTTTAAAAATTGATATGAAATTCACAGAACATAAAATTGATTATTTGAAAGTATACCTTCAGTGGCATTTATTATATTCACAATATTGTGCAACATCCACCCCTATCTAACTCCAAAACATTTTCATCATCCCAAGAGAAAACTCCTTACCCATTAAACAATCATTCCCCATTTCCCTTCCCCCAGCTCCAGACAACCACCATTGGGGTTGGAGACCCCTGGAATAGACCACATTTTGACCCATTGTTTTCAAAGTCTGCATAACATGGGTGCCTACAACTTATTCAACCTGTCGCTGCTGGTGGACATGTCGGTTGCTTCCTTTTTTTTTTTTTCCTACTGCCCATGATGCTTCAGTGAGCTGTCCCACACCTCACATATATCTTGGCAGGAAGAGCCAGAGGATAAAGGCTTAGAAGTTAAATTACTGGGCCAAAGAGTATGTGTGTTAGAACGAGGAGCGATCTCACTGATTTGTGTTTCAGAAAGCTTGAGCCAATGTGCTCTCCCAGCCACAGTGTCTGGGACTTCTGTTTACTCGTACATTCAATAGCACTGGGTATTAAAACTTCAAAAGTTGTTTTGAATCTGATAGGTGAGAACTGGTGTCATTGCTATTTTCATTTTTAATGACTTTTATATGCTTATTTTACACTGCATTTCCTGTTCATATCTTTTTTTTCCTTTTGAGTTGTTTTTCCTTTCCTTGTTAATTTGTATTGGCTTGCTCTTTGTATATTAAGGAAATTAGCTCATATATTAAGGAAATTGGCTCTTTGGATGTCTCATACTGCAATTTTGTTTTTTACTTTACATATGGCATTTTTTTGGTCCACTGAAGTTTTAGTTTTCTATGCCGACAAGTTTATTAAGGATTTCCTTTATGGCTTATGAGTCTTGGATCTTGCCTAGAAAGGCCTTCGTCCAGCCCTGACTGTAAATACTGGATCCGGGTTTTCTTCTAGATCTTTTATGGCTGTATTTGTTATTCTTAAATCTCTGCTCAGTTCCATCTATTTGGAGGTAAGAACTGAGACTTCTATTTTCCCCACAAATGGTGGCAGACCCTGGTCTAGGAACCAATCGTGGCTTCTCTTATCTCCTCCAGGAAACTACAAGGCTCCTTTGATGTGAGTGTCAAGGGCATCAGCATTTCAGTCAACCTTCTGTTGGGCAGCGAGTCCTCAGGGAGGCCCACAGTTACTGCCTCCAGCTGCAGCAGCGACATCGATGACGTGGAGGTGGACATGTCGGGAGACTTGGGGTAGGTCTCCATCGGGGCACTGCCAGCTGGACTCCTGGTTGCAGCTCCTGGCCAACCCGGCGCTCAGCCTGGCCTCTGATAATTGTAATGATCCAGGTGGCTTGCACAGGCACTTGAAGATCATTCTCTGGGGAACGATGTTGAGATGAACAGACTCAAGCCAGGAATATTGGTGCATCATTGTCATTAAAAAAATAAACTTCCATTTATTTGGAAGTTTATTTATTTGGAAGTTTATTTCCAATCTGGCTATTGGAGGAACACAGAAACTTTGGTTAAAGGAGAGTTTGCAAAAAATATACAAGTCCTTGGATGAGTCATTTCATCTCTTCTAGTCTCCGTTTCCTTGATTAGAAAAGTGTGACCAGGTGTGGTGGCTCACGCCTGTAATCCTAGCAATTTGAGAGGCCAAGGCAGAAAATCACTTGAGCTCAGGAATTCAAGACCAGCCTGGGCAACATGGTAACACCTGTCTCCACAAAAAATACAAACATTAGCCAGACGTGATGGCACATGCCTGTAGTCTCAGCTACTTCAGGGGCTGAGTTGGGAGGATGGCTTGAGGCCAGGCGACAGAGGTCACAGTGAGCTGAGATTGTGCCACTGCACTCCAGCCTGGGTGACAGAGTGAGATCCTGTCCCTCGCCCCCTCCCAAAAAAGAAGAGAAAAATGTGGATTCTCAAGCCGCTTCCCCAAATCTACTGAATGTGATCATGCGATGATTGGGGTGCCACAGGCGCTGGGAAGCCAGACACACCGAATCAGGCTGGATGTACTGGGACACAGCAGGGTGCCAGGAGGGGGTGGAGAGGGCTCCCTTTGTGGACTGGCCTGGCCAGGGACCCGGGCCCAGCTTTCCCAGGAACCCAGCCGTCCCCAGGTTCAGTGGCAGGCTGTGCTTCTCTCCGCAGGTGGCTGTTGAATCTCTTCCACAACCAGATCGAATCCAAGTTCCAGAAAGTACTGAAGAGCAGGGTAAGAAGGTCCAAGCTTCTGGCCTCCCCTGAGCTTGGCGAGGGCTGAATGGAAGACCTCACTGACCGCTGGCCCTGGACCAGGCCATGGGGGCTGGTTTGGATGTACTTGGGCCCAAGGCTGAGGGAGGACAAATCATTTGCCCAGGTCATGGAGCTGTTGTGGGGCACGCTGGGGGCAAAGCTCCAAGTCCATTCAGTCAGGGCAGAAAATGGTCAACTTCTTGGCCAAGGGTTAAACAGCAGGGGCTAAGCAGAGACTCCAGCCCCTCTCTCTGCTCAGCCTTGCTCAGTGTCCCACACTGCCCTGCATTCCACCAAGGTCCCAAAGGAAACCATTCCTCAGGTGCCTGCAGGAGACCAGGCAGGAAAGCTCAGCGAGGGCGTGGGCCAGGTGGGAACTGGGCAAGCTCGTGGGCACCAGCCCTGGATGGGGAGGCAGCAACACTGTCAGACTGGCCTGTTAAAAAAGAATATGTGAAATCTTCGGAGTTTGTCATCTTTAACTAAATCAAAAAGATGTTGTGTTAACTTTCAGTTCCTCTAAACACTCATTCATCCCAAAATCCCATTTCTGAGATACTAGCCAAAGGGTATCTGTAGCAATGACTGTGGGAAAGGAGAAAGTGATGAAGGAAGAAAGGGAAAAATACACACAAACACACACACACCCCACACCCCCCACACACTCCCCCTTCCACCCACCACACACCATACACACACTCTACACACACACACCCCACACACCACACCCCCACACACACCACACACACACCCTACACACTCCCCCTTCCACCACACACACACCATACACACACTGTACATACACACACCCCACACCCCCACACACACCCCGACACACACCGCACACACCACACACACACCCTCCCACACACACCTAAACACCACAACCCCTACACACATCCCCACACACACCGCACACCCCACACACACCCTCCCACACACACCTAACACACCACATCCCCCTACACACATCTCCACACACACCACACAC